TAACCGTTAACAGGATATATGAAATTGAAAATAAAAAAACATAGTTATTTTGCCATTTCGTTTTGCGTTGCTGTCACAATAGAAAATATCTGAAATTGAAAATGAAGTTGTTGCTTTTGAAGAAACAAAACCTGCAGAAAACTTATTTAGCTGAGAATTGAAAATGGAAATTTGCTTAGTTACTTCATTATATTTTTCGGTACTTGATTTTCACAATTTTTTCATTGAATATTATACTATTCTAATCATGATTATACAATTCTAGTGCATCCTGCATATGTTACTTACTAGAGCATTGAGATTAATCCACTCCCTTTTCCATCTCCATGAAGCAAATTGAAATTAACAAAAAATTTAAATCTTTTATACTTTTACAACTCACCATAGAACTTAGCGCGAATTCCACTAGGAAGTTCAAACTATCCAAAAAGTGTCATTTGTGTTCTAATCTATTCAATATGACAAATCTAGCACAAACTATATGCATTTCGTGACATTTGTGTCTTACAATATTTAAATATGACAAATCTGGCACAAACCACATAGAAACTGACTATATTTTCTTTTAAATACTAACGGTCAACGCCGGTCAACCTTAGTGAAAAATAGTTCGTGCCAGATTTGTTAATTGAATAGTTTAGAACACAAATGACACTTTTTGAATATTTTGGATTTCTTAGTGGTATTAGCCCTAGAAATTAATTAAAAAAAATTGAAAATTAATAAAATTTTAAAATTATTAATCTTATATTTTGAGGGTTTGGGGCTTTGGGCATCAGCTCTCAGCCCACTCTTTCCTTCGTCTCTAGCCTTTTTCTTTGTTTGATTTTTCATTTAAGTACAATGTCGCTTTTTCACTAGACAATGGGGAGAAACCCATGTCTACTATTTAAGAAAACATAAATTTGTTATTTTCACCCAGCTATTTATTTATTGCCAGCTTGATTTCCCAACAAAAATCAGTATGACAAATATACAGGTTTTCTATTTTATGTTTCTTAATTTAAATTTTGTGTTGCGGCAACGAAAAACAGAAAACAAAATGGGAAGTGAACAAGGTATTAGGTTGTTCTATATTTTATAGAGGGCTTAATTGCAAGTTTGGTCACTGGGTTTACAAAAAACGTTCATGTTTGGTCACTAAAAATATTTAATTTCATTTGTGGTCACTAAAATTATTTTAATAGTTCAAGTTTGGTCACTCTCCGTCCAATTCCGTTATCTTTATCCTACGTGGCGGTCAACTTTCACGGTTGACCGTTAAATGAGTGACGTGTCAATTAAAAAATATTAAAAAATAAAAATTTAATCTTTCAAAATTTCCACTTCATTATTATAAATATGAAAAAATTAAAAATGAAAAATCTAACCTCTTACATCTCTCTCCCCCTCTTTCTTAAACTCGATTCATAAACCACCACCGCTGTCCTCCGCAGAGCCGCTCGGCCCCAAAGTGGCAGATTTTCGCGGTCAAGGAAGGATCCGTGACGCTTGTAATGGTGAAGTGATTATGTATAAGAGTCATGTTCAGCCCGGTCTTGATGTGGAAGTAATCCAACGTGTGGGTGAGGTCCATGGCGATCCGGATTCTTGAAATCCAGGTGGAGAGCACCGTGAAGTTGGGATTCCTCAAATTCCTCAAACAATTGGTGAGGGTTTCTCCCTTGACGAACTCGTAGACTAGGTAAATGTAGTCCCCGGAGATAGTGTCGTTGCCGTGCAGGGTGCACTCCAGCAGGGCGAAGAAGGGGAGTACGGCTTAGAGAGGAAGCAATTGGTGGCGCGGCGGATCTCGGAGATGTCGTAGATGTGAGGGTTCTAGGAGAGGGAGTGGCAGAGGCTGGAAATGGAGGTCCGACTGGGGAGAAAGGAAAACGAGGTGCCTCCTGTGTAGTCGGCGCCGGAGGAGGACAGATCTGAGTAGTAGTAAGAAGATGAAGGAGAGGAGGATGCGCCGATACCGGAAGTGAATGTCAGTCACTGCCGGGGAGTTTGCGGAGGGCGGGGAGACTGAGCGGGGTAAGCTCGGGAGGTGGAGACGGATTGGGACTGAGTGGCGTTGAAGGAGGAGGAAGAGCGATTGCGGGAGGTGGGAACGGCGGCATCAACGACCATTTTAGTTCTCCACATGGTGGGAGAGGAGGGAAGGAAGGTCAGAGCGTTGTGGTGGGGGTTGGGGATTAAAAAGAGTATTATTTTATTTGTTTTTTATTTTTTAATGGTTGGAATGATGAGATGGAAATTTTAAAATATTAAATATTATTTTTTTAATTGACACATCACTCATTTAACGGTCAACTATGAAAGTTGACCGCCACGTAGGATAGAGATAACGGAATTGGACGGAGAGTGACCAAACCTGAACTGTTAAACTAATTCTAATGACTACAAATGGAATTAAATATTTCTAGTGACCAAACATGAACGTTTTTTGTAAACCCAGTGACCAAACTTGCAATTAACCCTTTATAGAGAGTTTGGTAGGTTGCTCTTTGTTCATTGGAAATCGCAAAATCTTTGTTCAACTCTTCCAAACGTCTATATTTGACTTCAGATCATGTATTGTATTATATCATTTGGAGTGCAATGATTAACAATTGTTAGACTTAGTTAGAGGTGTCAATTGTGCGGGTTGGGTCGAGTTCGGGTTGGGTCTAACCAGATCAGGTTCAATCGGGTTGCGAGTTCAATTGGGTCGGTTTCAATTTGGATAGGGTTTAATTGGGTTGCATGTCAATTGGGTTACGAGTCAATCAGGTCACTGGTCAATTGGGTTACGGATCGGGTCGGGTTATGGGTGCATCAAATTACATGTTTATCAAATTACGGGTTATAGTATGAACTAGATGTGTGTCTCTTGATTTCCACTAAGACTTATGAACATCATTCCGAATCACCCACTTATATATCTTCACAATTTTTTATATATTTACGGTAACATCTCATCCTAAAACTCATGGGTCGAACAACGGTTCGCTCAACTGTTCGCTCAAATATGATATTATCATCTAGTTCGAATTGTTGATTTATTAATTTATAAAAAATAAATAAAATCAGTAAAAATTTGAGAATGAAGTAAAAAGGGTAAACTATCCACTTATATATCTTTAGGGCTGTTAATCGGTCTCTGGTTTTTCGGTTACCACCGAAACCGAACCGAAACCGTCGGTTTAATGACAAACCGAAAACCGTCGGTTGCTTGCGGTTTGCGGTTGCGGTTGGCTGTCACCGGCCGTGGGGCAATTGTAGCGGTTAGCGGTTAAAAACCGCAATCATACAAATTAACTGCAAAAACCGACCAAGACACTTAAACAACGTCGTTTGGCCTTTTCCAGAGGGGACTCCCCTCCTCCCCTGACCTAAATGGCGAAATCGCACTTCGTTCGGCCTCTCCCCAGTCCCCTCTCACCCGCCGCTCCTCCCCATTTCTGACCTAATCCCTACCCTCGCCGCCAGTCGCCTCGTCCGGTCGTCCCCGTCGAGCTCGTCGGCCGTCGTAGCGCCGTCCTCACTCCTCTCGTTCCCAGCCTTCGTCTCATCGCCGCCCTCCCGCTCCCAGCCTTCGCGTCGCCGCTGTCCTCCAACAGAAGTCGCCGTCGCCGAACTCCCTCCCAGAACTCGACTCCAGCCGACGCTGCCGTCTTCTGCCCCGGAATCCCGCCGTCGCCCTGTTCTATCACCATCACCAATGTAAGTCCGAACTTGTTCTCTAAAAATCCTCTACTATTTGGCATTTGCAGTTAGAACAAAAACATCAGTAGGGATTTGTGGAACAGAACATTAGTAGTTAGTTGTGGTATCGTCTCCAACAGCACAGGAAGTATGTCTGTAGGCTAATGGTGTGTCATCAAGTTGATTATAGACCGGCAAGCACTCTGCCATTTCTCTCCTTTAGTTTTTGTATGTGTTCGTAGTGAAGTGGGTCTAGGTTAATTAGCTTTATAGTGTAGAGCTAGGAGTGGGAAAAGAGAGATCGAGCATTCTCTTGTTGATATCCCGTGCTTTGACATTCTTAAATGGTGGTCCGTCAGCAGGTGTGCAGGTCACTGAAATCGGTTTTATTGGCGGTTTCTGACCGAAAACCGGACCGACTCTGGGCGGTTTTGGCTAACCGCCCCAGCAAATCAAAACCGGCGGTTGCGGTTGGCGGTTAACCGACCCTCCCTTCGGTGTCGGCTTTGGTTGCGAGATATGGTCTGTTTTCGGTTTCGGCTAACCGACGGTGCGGTTCGGTTAAACCGAAACCGCACCGACTAACAGCCCTATATATCTTGATAGGGATCATTGATTTCATTGATTTTCAAGGGTTGATTTTTTTAATATAGTTATGGGTGGTGGAGATACGAATTTGTGTCTAACTCTTCCTATTATCTTCAAAAATTTATCCTTTGAATTTCATAAAATACAAAATGAATGAAAAAATATTTCACATATTATTATTTTAAAAATTCAATATTTAAGAAAAAATCTCAATCTATACCATCAATTCTACAAATAATTTTCAATTATTATGAGAACAACAGTTCTTTCTTGGTAAATTTAAAAATATAATAATATATACATTGAATTTTTGTACAAGCACTCGGGTCAAATGGGTTATTCGGGTTATTCGAGTTGGGTTCGGTTACGGGTTATTTGGGTTATGAATCATTCGGGTTATAGATGGGTCGGGTTATGTGTTGAATCGGATAACGAGTTCATCGAGTTATGGGTTGATCGGATTACGGGTCAATTGGTTTCGGGTTACGGGCGGGCTTCAGGTGGTTGACTTTTTGTCAAATCGGGTTACGGACGGGTTATGAGTCGGGTGGGTTGAGGGGTTAGTCGGGTCGGGTTCAATTTTGACAGCTCTAGACTTAGTCTTATATTATGTTTCATACACAATGATACTACGTTAGCGAGCGGGTCCTTACTAATAATAAAAAAACACAAGTTTCTAATAAATCTCGATGGATGAAATAATACATTATACATATATTATATGTGAATACATACATTATCTGTGAATAAATAGAATGACTAAAAGAATTTAACAAATGGTACAATCTCATTAAGAAGACCAAATGATCCTTAATTAATTGATCCAGGTTCTTATCATCAAGTACTTCCTAGCAACTTCTTCTTCCTCTCTCGACAGCACCGGCCCCTCTGTCCTCCGTGCCGGCGGCACAGGCTGAGATTAATTACCTAAATACAGTAATAATTAAAAATAATTCTCAGAATACATAACTTTTATAAAAAATTCCCAAACTACCAAAGTTTGACACGGTTCGAGTTCAACAAATTCGAACTAGTACCGGATCGACTGCCAACAAATCGATCCACGTGCATCGAGGAAGGAAGACTCAAACAGCAAGACCTGGATCGATGACCTGGGCAACGCTCCACCCTAGATCGATGTACCGGGAAGCGATCTAGGCTGTTCGATTGCTCAACCCGCGAAGCAGTGATGAAGCGGATCGAGTGTGGGAAACTCGATGTCAGTAGATCGAGTCCGTGGTAATCGATCTGATTGACGCGGATCGATGACGTCAGGCGCGCACTACCGTCGATCGAGTACTCTAAACTCGATCTAGGTCGTTCGATTGCCAAACCCGCGAAGCAGGGATGACGCGAATCGAGTGGGTGAAACTCGATGCAGTAGACCGAGTCCGTGGTAATCAATCTAATTGACGCGGATCGATGACGTCAGGCGCGAACAACCTTTGATCGAGTACCCTAAACTCGATCTGGATCGTTCGATGCACCTAACCACGAACTGCTTTTGACGCGGATCGAGTGCCCCGAAATCGATGCACTAGTTCGAGTTTTGTAAACTCGATCCACTCTCCCACATAACCTATAAATACCCCCTCCCATTCCACCAAAACTCACACCACTCCATTCTTCTTCCTCTCTTCCTCCCACCACTCTTGAAGAAAAAAATATGCTCTGTGGTTGCGGCTAAGCCAGATCTTCCGCATCTGATTTTTTTTCTTTAGTTTGGTACTTCTATCACTCAAAATTGTCGAGATGGATCAGAGTATTTACGATCCTAGATTATACATTCAAGGCGGACCGCGAGTAACCGATTTGTTGGATGAGCAACCTTACCATCGGTCTGAAAGTGTTTGGGCGGCAGATCCAGTAAGCACTTCCTCATGTACTTTTCTTTTTTTAAATGTGATAGTATTCTTCTAATTTTTTTGTATAATAATTAATGTTTTTTTTTCTACAGGAACAACTTGACGTAATCACCCATCGGTCGCTATCTCGCTTGCCTAAATGGGATGATCGTATCGGGCCCTTCATTGAAAGAGCGCGATTGCTGAGGGTGCGAAAGTTTGTGGGGATGGAGATGGACAACAACCTTCTTACAGAAATGGTGGAAAGATGGAGAAAAGAAACGCACACATTCCACCTTCTAGAGGGAGAGATGATGATTACGTTGAAGGACGTAGCCATGCTGACAGAGCTTCCAATCAGTGGTTGGTGGAAGGGTCACAAACGTGACAGAACTCAATCTTGTGTTTCGAGACCTGACACAAGAACCTGCGTTTATACAGGTCGTAGTAGAAAGTGGTTTGAACGACGCTGGGTTTCAGCGGAACCTTGAATGGGTGGGTCCCACCATAGCGGCGGCCGGAGAACACCTTCAGTTCGGCGGTGGCTCCTCCTACTCTGCAGGCTATGAAGTCGAGCACCTTGAGGTTCTTCCATCGGATCGTTATTATGCCTTGCGGTGGGGATGAGAAGCTGCAGCGGAAGAATTGTAGCTTTTCGAGTGAAGGGCAGCCGGAGATTAAATCAGACAACGCTTGCTCATTTATTGCAACCACGAATCGCAAAGCTAGGGATTTGAGGCACCTGAGACAGTTGTACGATCCCTCTTTACCGTCGTCGCAGCCACAGCAAGAGCTAGGGTTCGTGAATGATACTACCCTATACCCAGCCACCCCTGGGAAATCGTCCGCGTTGAGTTCTACCCACCCGTACTCGAAATCCCCATGGAGAAAATTGATACCCAATAATTCGATGAAATTTGATCCACACCCATCCTCGCTCTCCTCGATTTGGATGACAATCTGTTCCACCCAGCTCAAGAATTCGTCGAGGCAGCCGAACCGCGAGACAGGGCAGCCAAATCTGCTGAATTCGGTGCGGCCGTCGTCGAAGTGGCGGTTCGGGGTTGCTCTCCACTGATCCCGCCATTTCTTCGAGAGCGCGCTGGTTCTCGCCGCATCTTCGATCGGCAGCCACGACGCGACTTTTGCCCACAGTTCGTCCGACAACCGGAGGAACGGATCCTCCTCTTCGCGCGAAGAAGGCTATGGCTGTCCCTGCTTCAAGTAATCGTTCAGCAGAGTCAGCTATGCATATCTTCCTAACATTGTTAGTATGAATGTGGATCTCTCTCTCTCTCTGTGTGTCTTTAGGATCTTCCTCTCTCCCTTTTTTTTGGGGGCGACCGTTTTAGAATTAGGGGTAATATCGTCTGTTTGGTTAATTTGGGGCGAAATTTTTAAAAAATTAGGGCGTTAAATAGGAATCCAGTTTTTTTATACCACATCCCCAGCCATTTTTCTCTCCTCCTAATCTTCGATTGAAACGGCAAATCCTTTCCGGAACTGATACGGTTCCGATCTTGAAGATGTCGTTGACTTATGACTTAGGCTGATGCTAGGGCTTATAGCTGGGCTTTGGGTCTGTTTCTTTGAGTTGGGCCTTGCCCCATTCTCTTCTATAGTTGGGCTTTTTACAATCTATGACACCAATCTATGACAGAGTGCAACCTAGTTAATCTGCTAACTTGAAAATTCGTTAGTATATACTAACTAATATCCAAAATGTATGAACTAATATCCAAATATTTTAACTATTCAGATAACACAAACTAGTACTCAAAACATCACAAACTAGTATCCAGATAGCAGATACAAACTAATATCCACAATCAACCAACTAGTATTCAATATGGATACTCTTATGAGTTATCTGAATACTCTTATGTGTTATCTGGATATTAATTATGTGCTGTTTGGATACTATTCTGTGTTGTCTAGATATTAGTTTGTGAATTTGTGATAATAGTTGATTCATGGTGGATATCAGTTAGCAAATTTTGAATACTAGTCTGTGCTCTCTAGATACTTTAGTACTTGGATATTAGTTCATGTAATTTGGATATCAGTTAGTATCTGCTAACGAATCTTCAAGTTAGCAGATTAACTTTCCCCGACAGAGTAGGGTCTAAACGATCATTGAAAAGGCCATTATTAAGCAGACTGTAAATCTCCAACGAACGAACAGACAAAAACAGGCATTGAAGTTATACTTCTTTCACAAGTTATGAAGCAGACTTCAGATTGTGTAAGTAGGGAAATCCGTCTCGAGTGTTTATGATATATATACGTCTACTCCATCACTAAGCCTTAGCTAGTAGTATAAAACTCTAACCAGAAGACACTCGCTCTTCTAGTCATCCTGAACAAAAGTTCTGCGGTTTCTTGGTCCGGAAGAAACCATGTCAATAATTATTGTCACCAAGATGGAGTGCAGATCAATGGGTACCTTCAGATTTGAGTAGTCGAGTTTCTGCTTAAGCAATATGTTATCCGGGGAGACATTGGCATAAAGCAACAACACCTGTCAAGAACAAGAATGCCTATCACCAGTTCTAAACATCGTACAGTATGCTTACAGGGACAGACAGACTAGCAAACATGAAAATAGAGAGCAAAGAAAAGAGTTATGATGTGGTGACATAAGAGAAAGCTTAAATCATATAGCATAATTAGGAAGCAGAAGCATAAAGCTTTCAGATATCGACATTTAAATAGTTACCTTGGTGTTGTCATCTGGGTTCTTTAGGATTTCCTCGATTACTTGTAGCATTGGCGTAATTCCTGTACCGCCTGCAATTTGAACAGCACAAGTAGTTAGATATGGAGCAGCACATAAGTTATAACAGCTTCTATTGCCACTGATCGTTTAGAATTAACACTCCAAGATGATAAAAAAAAAGGGTCCAAAATTACAGCTATAGATAAGATCTTACCATGCCAATGTTTCTTCATATTTGGTGAGTATCTAATTTTCCCAATTGTCCTGCAGCAAGACAATATTGATGCTGAAGTGAATACACACTTTTAATCTTCCTTATAATGGCCGTGATTTACAAATAACCTACCCTCTCACCGCGATAGTGTCACCAGGCTTCAAGCTGGCTAGATACTGACTCATTTTTCCATCAGGATAAGTCTGCTTTTTACAATTTTTGGATATGAGAAGCAACCAAGCTCAAGGGTTAAATGCTCTTTACAAGAATTTACAGAAGCAAGATAAGGAAATGTACTTCCAGACTTTTGAAGCAGACATACCTTGACTAATAGGTCGAAATATCCCTAAACTGCTGGATCTGATATTGGAGTGTACCTGAATACAGAATAGACTCTACCATTTAGCCAAAACGAAAACTAAAATACAAATAAGGCAAAGGGGTTTTAATATCAGGCAGTCGAAAGAAGAGATATTCTATTCAAGAAGATATAAGGATAGAAAACAAGAACCAGATCTATTGTAAGATATTCAGATGAACCAAAATGAACAGGGACACTTACGGGCGTATTACATATTTAGTTTTCCCATCAGCAGTCGTCTCTAGATACCTAAATAAGATAATGCATCAACGCACTGATTCTTGGCAGATGAAGAACTTCAAAGTTCTAGCCTCCATATCCATACCACCAAATGCTTCAGAATCTGGTAGTCTAGCCCTGTGTAGGGCTTTTACACACTTCACATTATTTACCTTGTAAGCAGGCATGAAGCAACATGCCTGCTTAAGCAAAGCCCAGCCATGCACTTAACCAAACACCACAACAAATATCATGATATTTAGTATGCAATGGCGGTTGTGCATTAGTATAAATAGAAGCCTTTGTAAGGCTTGGTTGTATTAGAGAAAGAGCAAGAAGCAGAGTAGTAGAGAGTGAGTGGGTGAGCAAATTTGAGAGTCTCTTGTATCGGGCAATAATTGCCAAGTGTTTGCAAAAATAGTTTGAGTGAAATAAAATCCAATTCCTCAAAATTTTTCGATCCTAAACCCATTACATTTCCGCTAGTGCCCAACAGAAGCAACATGCAAACCAAGCTCCTTAGAAGAATCAATAGTAAACCTGCCATTTCGGTAAGGCAGAGAGATTAAACTCTTCACACAGGGAGTAAATTATCTTTTACTGAAGACAACATTCACATTTCCTATTCACATTAACAAAGAACTGAAAGTCTACAATAAGTTTTTTTTATCCCGAGACTACCTATGGGCCAGATGTTATAATGTTATGGAAGCAGATTATCAAAATTGATTTGGTAATGGAAATACCTATACAAATGAGTATTGTGACTAACAGTTGCAGTGTCTTGAAGCTTGAATTGAGTCCATTTCTTCGGATCGGGAGCTGAAAAAGAGAACAACAAACAAGCAATCCGCGCAGTGAGTTCCCTTAACACTGGTCGACTTACTATAAGAGGCCTTAAAATAGTAAAAGCACTTCACCATTCAAGTTCACAGGCATTCTCAGATACTCTTGCTCACACCTTACAATGGCATCTAGCAAGAATGAGAAAAAGAGAAGAAAGACTTACCAACTTTTGGACCATCCTCTTCTCTCGCTTCCTCCAGGTGAACCTGGTAAAGATGAATTGAAAACACTTAAGTTCGCCATTAAGAACGCCAGCTGAATAAAACCAGAACTTCGCAATTGGCCGCAGGATCAAGAGTAAGTTCACTAATAAACCCTATGGATGATCCATAACAAGAATCTGTTTCGTTGGCGAAACTCGCGTGTTCAATGTGCACTGGTTTCAAGTAAACACAAACACACAAAATCAGCAAAAGATCGTCAAATATCCGCCGCCGAAGTCGGCGTCGTTGATTTGATCGATTAAAGCAGAAACCAAGACGATCGTCAAATGGCCGCCGCCGGTGTCGGCGTCGTTGATTTGATCGATACACCTTTGACCTCTAATCAAACAACTGTTATTCGGTTCAACACCTCTCCAAACTACGTTCGAACGAGGGTGTTCGACGAATAAACAGAGAATCGAACCAGGAGTGTTCTAAGTTACGTTACCTCTACTCCTATGGAGGTTCCTCTGGAGAGCTCCGCGACTACAACTACAAGTTATGACTACGACTCTGCAAAGGAGGTCTTTGACAGAGCGGTTCTACGAAAACTAGAGAGAAAAACTGATAATCTGCGACGGTGCAGTTTTTGAGTTGATTTTGCCGTCCTTCTACTTCTCTCTCTTCCCAATCTTTATATTTCGCGCTTCTTCTCGTCGCCGTAACTGCCTTCGCGCCTTTGTCGCCCACGTCTTCACTCCTGTCAACCGTGCAGGTAACTTCTTCCTTGTTGCGTAACTCCCACGAGTGCGAAACCGCTTTGCTGAGCAGCAACTCGACAAAACGACATTGAGCCACCCTTGTAATTATCCACCCGGGTTCGATAATCCACCCCCAACTCCCCAAGCCAAACTACATTCATCCTTGTTCATAATACGGCGGCGTACCATAAACAACACCGCTTCACTTTCTAAAATCTGAGCATGAGAGTCTCTTGTCTCGACAACGTCGTCGTTGTGGGGAATAAATTTCCCAGCGATCTCAACCCTAGCAACGTTGCTCTCCACTAAACAACGTCGTTTCTCGTCCAAGCAGAAACGTTGGATTTGCGGCATTGTCAAATACATAACGACACCAGTGATGTTGCTCCCTTGTCCGAATCACGACATTATTTAGCTAGGACTTCAACAATGCTTGATCACTAGCCTGCTTGTCATCGAATTGAAACAATGCCGCTTCTTGACATCATTGAACTCACTGCTTTGCTTCACAAACGACTAGCTCCGTGATCAACCATGTTCAAACACGGCCTGACCTTAATCAATCTAGGTTAGAGCAAGCAATGTTGTTACTTACCAGGCCGCACTTGCAGCAACATTTGATTCCCGATCCCGTTGAGCTTGCGGTCTTGCGGCATGAATAATCTTGATTCTGTGGTGTTCTTGAGTCTCTGAGCATTGGACCCAACTCCTCGATGTGGGATTCGCAACGTTGTTTGGAGCTAAACAACGTCGTTTGTTCACTTAGCGGCACTGGTATATTCTTGCAACACTGTTTTTAACTGGCCACCGTTGTTTACTTAGTGTCGCGGTGCTGTTGATATCCCTCGCGTCATTGTTATCTACCCAGCGGTACTGTTTTCTCGTCTTGCGGTGCCGTTTTACTTCTCCGCGGCATCGTATTAAACGATACCGTCTAAAATAATCATAACATAGTAATTAATTAAACCAGCGCTCATTGTTAACTCGCCGTCAAACTCTCACCCCCGGCGTCGTTCTCAGTTAAACAACATCGTTTCCTTGTCCCGCGATGTCGTTGAACTTTTGAGCTTCGCGACACTGTTTTAATCTTAAACAATGTCGTTTTAACGGTTGCGGCATCGTTTGGCCTGCTCACGGTATCGTTTCTTACCTTTGCGGCATCGTTTCCAACTAAACGACACCGTGCTAAAAAGTCATTAAAATATTAATTAACTGACCATCACTAGTCCACGACCAACAACATCGTTAGAGCCAAAACGGTTCCATTTGTTTTTCCTTTTGCGACATTGTTTTTTATTAAACACTGTCGTTTGCTAATCCGCGGTACCGTTAGGTCTACTCGCGGTACCGTTTTTAAATTAAACGACACCGCCGATTTAATCCACGGTACCGCCGGAGTCGGCGCTCGCATGGGGCCGTGTGAATTTTGGTCACTTGCCCATCGGTACCGCTTGCCAAGCTCTCGCGGTACCGTTTGAACTCTCCGCGGTACCGATTTTCCTCCTCCAACACGGATTAAAAATATTTAATTAATTAAAACAAAACTCCTTCTCCCACGAGACACCACACGCGCGGCCCTCCTTTCTTTATTCCCCGGTGTCGTTTCCAGTACCGCGGTACCGCTGAGCTCCCTTGCGGTACCGTTTTAATGTTCCACGGCGCCGATTTTCCTCTTCCGACGAGGAAAAAATATTTAATTATAAAACTCCCTTCTCCAACCCAACTACACGCGCGGCCCCTCTTGTTTTTCATTAAGCGGTGTCGTTTCCCATAACGCGGTACCGCCGAGCTCCCTTGCGGTACCGTTTTAATTTTCCACGGCGCCGCTCAACTCCAAACGACACCGTTATCGAATTAAATGCCGAGACTAATTAATGCGGCATTTAATTTCGGCCAAATTAATTTTAGGTGTCAACAAATGCCCCCCACAATTTGGTTTATAAGAATTATGAACCAAATTGTTGACACAATTACTCCACCGCAGATACTTCTCAAACCAAACGTGCCAAATCATACAAATAACACTGCATTGTTCAACTAGCCATGCAGCGTCAATGGCCCAAACTAACATTGATTTATCAAATCAATGTTATATCCTACCGCAACATTGTTTTCTACCGCAATGCTGGTTTTTCTCCCTTTTTTCAGATACTTTTGCCCAAACCGAATCCTGAACGGCTGCAGTGTTGTTGATAAGATTGGAGAACCTCAACGTTGTTGGCTGCTTGGGCAAAACGACAATGCTTTGATGATGACTTTTCAAAGCAACAAAGCTGCCATAAATTTTTCCATGCTGCTTGCTTCCCAACGGTGGTGTTTTTCATTACTTCATGCAACGTTGCCCAAAGGAACAACGGCAGTGTTTCATTATCAAACCACTTAGTTCAAACATTGGTCTTACGTATCTTCTTTTATTTTTTTATAAAACTTTATAAGCATGGTTTCTCACCAAAGTGAAACGAGGAACCAATCTTGCAATACTGCGGCATACCACTCTGGCACCTTGCAACGTTATTGACTGACAATCATCACCCAAAATTTATCCACTTGTAATTTGACGAATAAATCCACACCCACGATACGCCACTGTGTCCGGCGAACTTGTGTTTAGACTTTTTGAAGGCACCGATTTGCCTGTGGACCATTAATCAGGATTGCCCTAACCCATTAATTTGGCGGATTGCCCATCAATGTTTGCATGGCCGAATCTGGCCAATTTATCGTTCACGCAAACATAGTACAACTTTACAATATTGCCTTGTATTTCTTTCGTTTTTTGTTTTCTCTGCAATGCTGCGGCCAAGTACTTGGCTAAATTGAGATCGTCTCCAGCTCCGATGAGGAATAACATCATAGTTAATCTCCTTTTCCACTCTCGGCCACAACATTGCTTCAAGGCCAACAACGTTGTTTCGTATCTAAATGCTGGCCAATCGTGTGGCCTCGCACAAACCCCAATTTACACCAACGTGGCCCTGCGAACGACATTGTCCCTACTCAGCCGATTAGCCCTGTTGCGGCCGCTCTCACTTCAGCTGCGGCATTAGACTAAAATAATGGTGCCTTAGTACCTTTTCAAAATTGGGTAACAACGCACCTGCCACTCACTTG